CAGAGAAACAAAACCAATAGGAAATATAGAGGTTTTTTTTAAGGGGGTTTATTATGAAGGAGTGGTTCACATGATTATGGGGGCTGAGAAGTCCCACAGTCTGCCATCTGAAAGCTGGAGACCCAGGAAAACTAGTGGTAATTCAGTCCAAAGGTCTGATAACCAGGGGACCAATGATTCATTTTTTTGGCGGGGGGGGGGGGAACCAATGATTTAAATCCCAGTCCAAGGGAAGAAGATAAAATGAGATGTGATGTCCCAGCTCTAGTAGTAAGGCAGGGGGGAAAAAAGGGTAAATTCCTCCTTCCTCTACCTGTTGTTCTATTCAGGCCCTCAAGGGATTAGAGAGTGCCCACCCATAATAGGAAGAGCAATCTACTTTAAAGAGTCCCGCTGATTCAAATGTTAATCTCATCCTCATCCAAATACACCCTAAAAGACACCCAGAAATACTGTTAAATCTGGGCACCTATGGCCAGTTAAACTGACAAAATTACCCATCACATGGTTAAACAATTTTGCAAGAGAATGCAAACTCTATCACCTTTGAGAGCAAATCACCTATCAAAAGCTATGAAAAATCCCGAAAGAACAAACTTCCTTTGTGCAAATATCTATAAAATGTATTTAAAACAAAAAATTTTATTCCCTTAACAACTATTAATCTGGGACTTCTAAAAGTGCTACAGAGTGCGCCTTTTCCCACCTGTATCTTGTTAACCACAAAAGCTACAATCAGTGTTAATATATAAGTGGCAGTGACTTAACACAAATATAAACCATTTTTATTTAACATTTACTAATGCCTCACATTTGCACACAACCCAAATCATTAAGCTTAAACAGCTACCATGTTTTACTACATATTTTTGAAAGCACAAGACAAATGTCAACAGGCTGGTAACTGCTTGTTATGCAAAAAACCACCTCCAGAGTATACCACAGCTCTGGTTTAAATTCAACATATTTTCCTACATCTTCTATACCTTTAGTTCTCTCTAATAATAAATGCTCAGAATCATAACCCTAATAGCTTTTGAAAAAAAGTTTAAAAATGTGTTTAAAGAAAATCCATTGATAAATACTTCTTTATATCCTAATGTATTTCATTATATTCTAATGCTGCGAAAATTCAGATTAACTCAAACAAATCCTCAAGTAAACATCCATACCCTAATTCTGATATATGTAAATTTATACTTTTTTAAAAAAGAGAGCAGTGGAGGGTGAATAGGTATTAAACAAATAATTTTCAAGTAAACTTTTGACAAATAGGAGTAACATTAAGAAGTCTTAACGGCGGCAAAGACAGAAGGGGAAAAAGATTAACTAGACATTTAAAACAAACAAATCTGTCATCCCTATGTGGAAAATGCAAAAGACACACGGATATGGCTAGCAAGTCTTCTAAATATTTCATTTGTATTGAGAATGAAAATAATACAAATTAGGGGCGCCTGGGTGGCTCAGTTGGTTAAGCGACTGCTTCGGCTCAGGTCATGATCCTGGAGTCCCGGGGATCGAGTCCCGCGTCAGGCTCCCTGCTCAGCGGGGAGTCTGCTTCTCCCTCTGACCCCCCCATCTCATGTACTCTCTCTCTCTCTCATTCTCGCTCTCTCAAATAAATAAATCTTTAAAAAAAAGAAGAAAAAAATAATACAAATTAAAGCCAAAAAGTTTAAATCGAAAACTGTTAACTGACCTTTAGAGAGAAAAAAAAAAGGGGGCAAGAGGACCTACCGGGCTGTACTTTCAATTCACACTAATCTATCATATCACAGGTTTCAAAGTTCAATATACATATTAATTTGCTCAACTAGGTAATTTTTCCTTTAACTTAAGATGGCCCTTAATTGATCACTTGCATAGTTTCTCATTTCTGTAAAGGTTTCAAAGACCTATTTTGACAAAATGCAAAACTGAAGTTTCATATGCATGTTTATCACTACTGTTACTATTATGTATCTATATACTTGGCATCCTCATCCTGGTTCAAAAAAAAAAAACTTAAACCTAAAAATAGTCTCTACTGATGATTATCAGCTACAAAAGAAAATTAATGATGCATTCCACACTGAGCCACAAAAACAGAACACAACGTGGAATAAAAGGACCTAGGTGTGACTCCTGGTTCCACCACCTGTTACATAATTTTAAGCAAACTATTTTAACTCAGTCTTCTCATCTGGCTATCAAGGACAGCATCTTCTACCTCAATGCTGAGATGCCAAAGAACCAAGCAGACAGTACCACTCACCACTTTCTGAGCACAGGGTCTGCTTGTTGAACAAGAGATTCTCTTGTAACATAGCTCATCATTACATATTTTAAGATCTAACATGACTTAAATCACTTCCCCTAATATCTCCTGATCTATGTTAGAACGAGGAGCAGTAAAATGGAGTCCGAGGAGCAGTAAAATGGAGTCCCACACTATTAATTTTTTAGTAACCAATATTGAGTAAAATTTTCTATCTAATATATTTCAAAATAGGACTATTTCTGAGCCTTAAAAACAAAAGGCTAAGGTAAAGTAAAAAGTCTTTCTCAAGTAATAATCCTCAGTTTACCTACTGACAATATTCGGACAAGATAGTAGTGTATTAGGGGCGCCTGGGTGGCTCCGTTGGTTAAACGACTGCCTTCAGCTCGGGTCATAATCCCAGAGTCCTGGGATCAAGTCCTGAATCGGGCTCCCGGCTCCACAGGGAGCCTGCTTCTCCCTCCAACCCCCTACCCTCTCTACTCTCATGCTGTTTCTCTCTCTCTCTCAAATAAAGAAAATAAAATCTTTAAAAAAAAAAAAAGATAGTGTATTATAAAATTGATCAAGAGAGCTGAAAATTACTCACTGAAAGCTATACAGTCAGAATTCTGTACTAGGTCAGGAGATGGGATTCAAGTTTCACATTTGCCACCAATAAATGTTGACCTTGGACCAGTCTCTGGGCTTCAGTTTTCTAATCTATAAAATGACTACTAAAAACCAAAGATAAAATCCAAGTACCATTTAATCTGGGCCTTCGTAGTAGTTAACAGAATGGACTCGGAAGGGACTGCCAAGGTGGGAAACCTGGTTCGGCCACTTACAAGCTTTGCACCAGTAACACACACAAAGCACTACAGTACATCTTACTGGCATCAATGACTTACTATTTAAAATATTTCACTGCAACACGAAATCATTTTACAATACAGAAGCTTAGAAGGTACAGTCCTTCCAAATCAAGGCACTAGCATTTTACTAGCAGACAATGAGCTCAACTCTTCAAAACATGCTAGCCTAAGCCAAGTTTCATCAGAAGATCATGTCATAAAATATCACACGTTAAAGACTCCACTGAAACTTATAAAGCTAATTATTTTCACCAAAATATCATACTGAAGGTAAAAATACAACTTCTGCTACTCAGATCTTTTTTTTAACCTAACACTGCTAATGACAACAGAAACTTATGATATATCATAATCTCTGAGAATTTAATAAACTCCAGGAATGAAAAATATGTGAAATTTAGAAATATTAAGTGAGGGGCGCCTGGGTGGCTCAGGTCATGATCCCAGGGTCCAGGAATCAAGCCCCAAATCAGGCTCCCTGCTCAGCAGGAAGCCTGCTTCTCCCTCTCCCACTCCCCCTGCTTGTGTTCCCTCTCTCGCTGTGTCTGTCAAATAAATAAATAAAATCTTAAAAAAAAAATATTGAGCTACAAACTACTAGAAATAAGGAGTTCATGAATTACAATCAACCAGTAAGTATTTACCAGAGACATCATAGTCGAGGCTCTGTGCCCAGATCAAGTGCAAATACCAAAGTGTGAACTTCCTCAGAGGTTTATCAAATTGGAAAGGCAAGTAAATCTTTTTTCATCACATTTTAACACAACAAAAGCCTCTCATCTACAAACGATTTTATTTCCTTTTGGCCCAGGTAGGAATACTTCCTGTTGCCCATTAAAATTGTTTCCTACCCTTAACTCAGCCCACAAAGATGCCCAAACTAGTCACTGACAGCTGACATCGGAACCTTCAAAGGACTTCATGCAAGTAGCTTCTAATACATTTCCTCAAATCCACAAGCTGCAGAATTTATCTTCAATGACGCCTACACCAGCATATACCACTACACATAACTGTGTTAACTTGGGTCAAGTATCTTATTAGATCAATTTAGTTCTTGTCCTTAAAGTACTGCTAGTAAAGGCAAACTCTACTTCTTCAAAGTCTGCTTTTTGCAATGGACATGAGGCACTAGAAAAGGGAAACTGATTGGCTAGTCATAGTTGCCCTACTTCCATTTCAGGTCCAAGTTTAAAAAACAAAACAAAACAAAACTGCTCCACAGAGGGTACCAAGGGAGCCTTAAGCAAATCAAGAGTGTAGATGCTAAACTAAACTTTCTGATTCCTACGATTCAAAAAGGTGACAGGGGGTGGGGGTGGGGGTGGGGAGGGGGGACGGTGATATAACTGGGCTATTCAAGTGTCACTTGAGAAAGAAGGTCCACTTCACGAAGTAGGCAAAGTAGGGGGTGGCTAAAAACCGGTCTGGCCAAGTGACAAACCCAGGATGCTAACCGAGCTTGGAGGTGGAGGGCCCTGGAGGCCGGGACCGGAGAAGGGAGATCTCGGGCAAACCGTAGGGGAACAGGAACCAGCAACAATGCAGAGAGACCAACGCTGCCACAGAGCAGCGTGTAAGGGGACACCACGAAGGAAGCGATGAGTTAGGAGGTAGCGACAGCAGGAGGGTGACCAGTGCCACGGGCGACGGTCAAGTGGCAACTGCGAAAGAAGAGGCACAGCAGCCGGAGGTGGTGGGACTCTGTTGAGTCAGCACAGCTCCTATTCAGAGGGCACTTGTAGGATCCCCACTGCTCCTCGGGCCCCGGGGCCCGCTACGAAGGGTCAGGCCCGCGGGCGGGAGAAATGATGTTCTCGGAAGAGCTGGCGCCGGCCCCTTCCCCATTTCACAGGTAAACACTGGCCGCCGTCGCCGCTTACCTCTGTTAACATTATTACACCCCGGGGAAATGAGCTCCTCCCTAGCCTCGCCGCATGGCAACAGCCGTAGCAGCAGCGAAAACTGCCCGAGCCGCCGCCAACGGCCGAAACAGCTCCTTCAGTCCTCTCCCGGGCGGCGGCTTTACTCGGCTTTGCTGGCTTCCCCCCGGCCCGGCTGCTCGCGACGGACGCGCCGCCATCTTGGAAGAGCGACGTCCGCGTCTTTCTGCGACGTGCGCTCCCATTGGTGAGCGCAGGAGCCGCCGGTGACTCGTGACCGTCTCCATGGCGCCGGCGCGTGGGGAAGTGGAAGTGGACGCCTCGCGGCCCACTCGGCCACAGCGGTGAGGCCTCTAAAACTGGGCTCCCAGGCGGACTTCGAACTGCCGGGAGTGGAGACGGGGCCCAGCGCAGGGCCAGCCCGGGAGCTGGCGCGCGCGTCCGCAGAGTTCGCTCGTCGTCCGCCGCACGCCGGGATGGGCCGACTCTGGGGTGGAGCGAGACCGGCAGAGACCGAGCTTTCGACTGATGGCGCTGCGGACCTCGCGCGTCTCGGGGACAAGGCGGCAGATGTCCTGTAGAAAAACTTTCCTCTCGCATTTCCTTTGCCTAGCAGCGACCTAGGAGCATGCGGAGGGTCGGGTCCCTCCGCGAATGGGGTTAAATATGATCTGAAACTGCTCCCCGCGCAGTCCCTCTCTTCCTGAACTTTGACAGAAACTTTCCTTTGTCCTTACCAGTCGTCAGCGAACCCTTTTCTGGGGTGTGCGACAGGTTGTAGAACTGATACAGGCATATCAGCTTTACCCACTATCCTAGCGGTTAAGACTGTCGCAGATTAGGTGATTGGCCAGCACCTGCATAACAGTGAGGGCTTAGTTTCGCTGCTTCTAAGAGACCTCAAAACAAAACAAAGTAAAGGCACTTTTGCTTTTTAACTGCCATTTCTACAGTTCTACTGGCTTCTTGATAGAATATGTTTATGTATCGGTGCAAATTTCAGCAGGTGTCACTGTAAATAGTGCCAACTTAAAATGGAACTGAACTCGGGCACTCTGTGCATAGAAGCCCCTGAGACTGACACCATTCTGAATCTACTACTAGATGGGTTACATTGTGTGGAATTGGAGGCAGTCACTTCTACGTGAATTTGAATGCAAGTAGTTTACCTGAACCTGCTGTCAAAGTGTATTACTCTGGTGTGTTAGAAACTAGTTTACAAGGAAATTTGAAGATTTTCAGATTTTTACAGGGGGTACAAAGGCATTTGGAAAACTAATGCCAATAGTTCATTCCCCTTTCCGGAATCTCCTTCCCCACACCTCGACTCCTTTCCTTAACAATGGTACTATTTTATAAAATGAAATTTAACACATTACTCTCATATTCTCAAAATATTAAGTGAAGGCATTACAAACTTGTGTTACCATTATTCTGTTGTATCCTCACCAAGGAAACAGAATTGTCCATTTAGGTAGTCTGGTAGAAATTCAAGAAAAACCTTCATTTTACTGAATTCAACTAATTGAGGCAAAGTAGTTTTTGTTGTTGTTTTGGTCTACATCTGATACATAATTTCCATATTACTGGCCCAGCAGAATTCTGATCTCTGCAACGCAATAAAATGTGTTACTGGTATTGACAGATTAAGCCATGAATAGGAAATACGATTGGAATATACTATCTGGACCTGGATATTAAGGGAAACTAACAGATACTAGAGACAACAAGGAAGCTGGAAAAAGATATTGTTCCAACCTGTAAGTAAGAAAACAGAGAAGGAGACTTATTAATATTTAAGATACCTGCTGGTGAATTAAAACTGTAATTTAGGCAACTAGCCTTGAGTATTTAACTTTTTGTACATTATTTTCCCATTCCAGGAGCAATACATTTTCACCTAAAGGTGGTGAAGTAAGTGTAAACAACGTGAGGTTTGTACCAACCTATAATGTGACATGAACATGCTTTTAACATTTAAGAGTTTATCTACAGACCTAGGAGCAAGCCAAAATCATTAGCTCCTGTTTTCTCAGCCAGAGTCCTTTCTCAGCCAGGTCACCCTGTGACCTAAAAAACCTTATGCTAGCTAGCCTTCCAAGTCCCTCCTCACATCCACCTTTCTGACCTCATTTCTACCAAGCACTTTGTTCCAGCTTTCCTGCTGCTGTAACAGCAAGGCATCTTTTTGCCTTGGGGCCTTTGCACTGACTGTACTCCATCTAGAAGGATCTTTCCACCAAATACTTGCATGGCTACATCCCTCACTACTGTCCCATCTTTGCTCAAATGTCAGCTTTTTCAAAGAAGCCTACTCTGATCAACCCATTTAAAATGTTGCCTATCCCCCCCCCCCGCTTCAGTTTTCTTCATGACTCTCACACCTTCTAACGTAATTACTATTTTTCTTATTGTCGGTCTTCCCTCCATTAGAATATAAGCTCCACGAGGTCAGGGATATTTTTGTTCTGTTCAGTGATGTTTCCTCAGCACCTTGAATACTAAGAATATTGCATGGAACATAGTAGACAATATTTCTTGAGTGGGTAATCATTTTCTAAAAGACCTCAAAAGGAAAAAGCCTAATTAAAATTGATAAAACAAAATCTTTGGTGTTGAAAGGTTAATTTTTTTTTAAGTCGGCCAATGTGCATTCTTATCTTGCAATTATGGGGCGAGTTACTTCTACTGTCACTAGAATGCTGGAGAGAAGTTTATGACAGAAATGTGACCTACGCCTTTATTTTTGATGGTGGTAATGGGATGAGGGCTAAAAAAGATAAAATATGTTAAAAACAAACCTTACATTTATCTTGGGCATGAGTTAAAATTAACTTGCTAGCAAGGTGAGCAACAAACAATATGGTACACCATTTCGGTGAGTTATGGAAATTGAGGAATTATATAGTTGGGAAAGAATGTTTACAGAATCAGCTAGCTTAAAATAAGCACCTAATTTGGTACCGATTACAGTTGCATTCCCTGTGGTCTTGAAAACATCATATCAGTTGTTACAAAGGAAACCTGGAACCAGCTGATCTGAGATGCTGGCTGCTTTGGCTATCAATCAGAAATTCAAAACAAAACAATCTTAAGAAACACATGATAAGGATATTTAATGGCTGTTCTTGCAAAAGGTTTGATTCCCCAACAGCAGTGTCCAATCTGTCCAATTAACACAGGAAGGGATGACAAAAAGAGGTCAGAAGCAGAAACCAAGTGTGTGACGCTTTTAAACAGGCCACTGCCAGTGATCTCTAAATCAAGCAGCAATTTGGAATATCTAGTTTGCCTACTTTTTCGTTTTAAAACAGATAAAAAAAATTCTGCATATTCAGGTTGTTACAAATTGGCTACAATTCCTTTTGAAAAACTGGAAAAATATAGCATCAACCTTCCAAGCAAATTGAATCTATCACACAGTTGTTATATTTTAATCTTTTGGTTTCTTAAGCCACCTCGTTAACTCGTTTCTTGATAATTCCATATCAGTGTCAATTACCACCGCTACTAACATTAAAGAGTACTATGCATTCATTAACAAGGCCCAATAACAAAGCCAGTGAATCAGCATCGAAGTAATGCATTGCCAACAGAGGAGACACATTCTAAGAAAGACAACAGCAGGATATCCTGAATCTTTGTTATAGCTTTAGTAGGGCAACAGGAAGCAGAAATCTTGGGGCATTTAAGAGTGATCTGAAGTCTAGTTTCAAATAGCCCAGCTTGTGCTTTTTTTCTTGCATAGTATTTTTTGAGGAAATACTGAGGCAACTCAAGCCTAAGAAACTGAAACAAAGATAATATGAAGCTTTGCTAACAATAGATGTAGCCATAGCAAAATAATAATTTTCACATTTCAGAAGTATGAAGAGATCACTGGCAACCTCAGTCAATAGTTTTGTTTGTTTGTTTTAAGGTTTTTATTTATTTGACAGAGAGAGAGAGCAAGCTCAAGCAGAGGGAGCTGCAGGCAGAGAAGCAGGCTCCCCGCTGAGCAAGGAGCCCGATGCAGGCCTTGATCCCAAGGTCCTGGGATCATGAACTGAGCTGAAGGCAGATGCTTAACCAACCGGGCCACCCAGGCGTCCCCAACAGTTTTTAAAAGAGATATTTTTACATCACAAAAATTAGACCTGGAGCACTTTTCAAACATTTAATTCTCAATTATGAATACTATTTTTCAGTACTTATTATGGGTCAGGTGCTGTGGGAGGTATTTTGCACATATTATGCTTAACAATTGAAGAAGGCTGTCACAGTAGATCTTACTACCCTTTGAGGCCATGATAAATTTAGTGAGTTGCCCCAAGTCACCTATCAAGGGTATATACTATCAACATCATTTATCACTGTTGATGTTGACTTCAATCAACCTGGCTGAGGTAATGTTTGTCAGATTTCTCTGCTACAAAGTTACTGTTTTTTCCCCTTTCCATACTGCTATACTCCTTGGAAGGAAGTCACTATCAGCAGCCCACACACAAGGAGCCCAGAATTATGCTCCTTCTCCTTGAGGGCAGAATATCTACTTAAATTATTTGGAATTATTTTGCATGGGAAATTTGTCTCTTCTCCATTTTTTATCAATTCAGTCATTTATATGAGTATGGACTCATACATATTTATTTTGTACTTTGGGTTAAATCCAACACTTTTTTATTTTGTTGCTCAAATTGTCCCAGCTTTGGGCATTGGGAATTCTTAGTTGCCCTATGTCCTCTTAATGTACTCATATCAATGTGAGGTAGTTTTTTGTTTGTTTTTTGAGCACTTCCTTACTTTCTACAAGATACTCTAGATACTACAAAATGTTCCAGGGTCATTATACCCCAGTCCTAGAATCAGCCATTTCTCTAAGGAATTTCCATTCCTTTATTGGAGATTGGTATTAGAAAACAAGATATAAGCACTAAGTGTGTTCTTTGCTACCCAGGGTGTCCTTTCTTTTGAACCCTTGCAACTGACAAAGCAAGGAAATATGTGTGTGTACACTAATCCATATATACACCTATCTATATGTATTTCTGTATGTAACCATCTGTATTTATATTAAGGTAACATGAGTTCATACTGATGTCTCCTAACTCTAACCCATTAACAGTGAATCGTTCTAGCATTCTCCCTTTGCTTATCTGTAAATTCCCACTCCCAACAGTGGGAAACCTGGTTCCTACCATTTGCCATCCATTTCTTTAACTCTTAAATCTCAGTATACATGCATAGCAATATCAGAATTGTTAACCCTTGGGCAACAACCTGATCAACTAGAATACGGTGTCTAGACACAATTCCTTTTGTCTTTAATCTTACTAATTTCAGTTATTTCCAAAGTTGCTTAGTTCAGCTACCTTCCCCCCCCACTTCCTTCACTGCAGTTGTTTCATACGTTTGTAATACATTTAGATTCTCTTGTAGCACTCTACTCTCTTTCTTGAGATTCCCCCAATCCTCTTAATGATTTGATTTCTTTCTCATTTGCACATAGTAATTTTCACTCTTTGTGCTTTTTGACAACAACTTAATGTCGTATCATACAGAATAGCTTCACAGCCCTAAAACATAAAAGGAAAGGAAAATATGTAACGAAATTACTTTTACGTTTTTAACTATAGACCCAAACAACTGATGATTTTACAGAAGAAACTTCACTTGGATATAGAGATATCAATAAAGATACACACATATATATTTGATATA